TTCAGCGTCACATGATTCTTCAGAAATCATTCTAATATGCTGATTTGCTCGAGAAACATTTCTGATTATTATCAATGTTGAAAACAATTGTGCGGTTGAATATTTCTGCTGCTTTCCAATATATACTATATTTGCATCATTTATTATTTGTCTAATCAAATAACATTTCCCCTGAAGAGCAGCTCTGTAGTCTAATGTTATAATGTGACATTGTAAACATACTCTTATCCACAAACACCAGAGTGAACTGGTTCTTGGCCCGGCCGTCTTTGAGCTGTGCGGTGTATGAGCCCTCGTCCTCTCTTGATATCTGATCAAGCAGGATCTCCACCAGACCCTGTGCCTTGTCAAAGTTAATCTTACGGGTCTGCAGGACACACACATCCACACGGCTCTTTAGACATCATTGAGCAAGTTAAAGGAATATGCACATGCAGATGGCTTTATTATTAATGTCAAAATCTGATCAGACAGTTACCGGTGTGCTGGAGATCTCTCTGTCATTGAGGATGAGCCGAAGCACCGCGGCGCTACTGAGAGCCTCGGTCTGCAGCCACAGACGCACACTTCCCTGCTCGGACACGTCCACCTGCCAGCCTTCAGACTTCAGAGCGATCACTGCAGAAGACATGCATAAGAGTCAAGGTCAACTTTATTTCTATAGCACTTTACACAGTGCAGATTGAGTCAGAGCAGCTTTACAATGTTAAACAGGAAAATAGTGTCAATAAGGACAATAGAAAACAGCCATCATTGATTCAGTCATCGTCCAGCTCAGTTCAATTCTCTTCAAATAGTGTCTGTGCAATCAAGCAGTCAATATTGCCAGATACGTTTATATGCATACAAAGATTTAAAGCATTTGTTTACATAAAAGTGAACATTCTGTCATTCTGTCACTTTTTTGGATGGAAAACAAGCTCTGAAATTTCTCAAAACATGTGGTTTGGTTTTTCTAAGAAGGAAAAATTCATGTTTGGATCAACATTAAGGCGAGTAGATGACGACAGAATGTCCATTTTTGGATGAACTATCTATAGAAGCTTACTTCAGCCATGGGGGGGAAAAAAGAAAAGAAAACTGACTTTCTATCTTGAAGTTATGAGAAAAAATGTAGAATTGCGAGATAAAAAGTCACAATTAACTTTTTTATTCTTTTATTCCATGGCTGGAAACAAAAAGATCAGAAATCAGAACTGCGAGATATTAACTAAGAATTCTGAGGGAAAAAAAATAAACGTACAAAGATTTAAACTCAGAATTCTGAGAAAAAAATTAAAACTTACAAGATTTAAACTCAGAATTCTGAGAAAAAATTCAAATTTACAAGATTTAAACTCAGAATTCTGAGAAATAAATTTAACTTACAAGATTTAAACTAAGAATTCTGAGATAAAAATGTAACTTACAAGATTTAAACTCAGAATTCTGAGATAAAAATTTAACTTACAAGATTTAAACTCAAAATTCTGAGGAAAAATTCAAACTTAAAAGATTTAAACTCAGAATTCTGAGGAAAAAATTCAAACTTACAAGATTTAAACTCAGAATTCTGAGATAAAAATTCAAACTTACAAGATTTAAATTCAGAATTCTGAGAAAAAATTCAAACTTACAAGATTTAAACTCAGAATTCTGAGGAAAAATTCAAACTTACAAGATTTAAACTAAGAATTCTGAGGAAAAAATTTAACTTACAAGATTTAAACTCAGAATCCTGAGAGAAAAATTCAAACTTACAAGATTTAAACTCAGAATTCTGAGAAAAAATTAAACCTTACAAGATTTAAACTCAGAATTCTGAGGAAAAATTCAAATTTACAAGATTTAAACTCAGAATTCTGAGGAAAAATTCAAATTTACAAGATTTAAACTCAGAATTCTGAGGAAAAATTCAAATTTACAAGATTTAAACTCAGAATTCTGAGGAAAAATTCAAATTTACAAGATTTAAACTCAGAATTCTGAGGAAAAATTCAAATTTACAAGATTTAAACTCAGAATTCTGAGGAAAAATTCAAATTTACAAGATTTAAACTCAGAATTCTGAGGAAAAATTCAAATTTACAAGATTTAAACTCAGAATTCTGAGGAAAAATTCAAATTTACAAGATTTAAACTCAGAATTCTGAGGAAAAATTCAAATTTACAAGATTTAAACTCAGAATTCTGAGGAAAAATTCAAATTTACAAGATTTAAACTCAGAATTCTGAGGAAAAATTCAAATTTACAAGATTTAAACTCAGAATTCTGAGGAAAAATTCAAATTTACAAGATTTAAACTCAGAATTCTGAGGAAAAATTCAAATTTACAAGATTTAAACTCAGAATTCTGAGGAAAAATTCAAATTTACAAGATTTAAACTCAGAATTCTGAGGAAAAATTCAAATTTACAAGATTTAAACTCAGAATTCTGAGGAAAAATTCAAATTTACAAGATTTAAACTCAGAATTCTGAGGAAAAATTCAAATTTACAAGATTTAAACTCAGAATTCTGAGGAAAAATTCAAATTTACAAGATTTAAACTCAGAATTCTGAGGAAAAATTCAAATTTACAAGATTTAAACTCAGAATTCTGAGGAAAAATTCAAATTTACAAGATTTAAACTCAGAATTCTGAGGAAAAATTCAAATTTACAAGATTTAAACTCAGAATTCTGAGGAAAAATTCAAATTTACAAGATTTAAACTCAGAATTCTGAGGAAAAATTCAAATTTACAAGATTTAAACTCAGAATTCTGAGGAAAAATTCAAATTTACAAGATTTAAACTCAGAATTCTGAGGAAAAATTCAAATTTACAAGATTTAAACTCAGAATTCTGAGGAAAAATTCAAATTTACAAGATTTAAACTCAGAATTCTGAGGAAAAATTCAAATTTACAAGATTTAAACTCAGAATTCTGAGGAAAAATTCAAATTTACAAGATTTAAACTCAGAATTCTGAGGAAAAATTCAAATTTACAAGATTTAAACTCAGAATTCTGAGGAAAAATTCAAATTTACAAGATTTAAACTCAGAATTCTGAGGAAAAATTCAAATTTACAAGATTTAAACTCAGAATTCTGAGGAAAAATTCAAATTTACAAGATTTAAACTCAGAATTCTGAGGAAAAATTCAAATTTACAAGATTTAAACTCAGAATTCTGAGGAAAAATTCAAATTTACAAGATTTAAACTCAGAATTCTGAGGAAAAATTCAAATTTACAAGATTTAAACTCAGAATTCTGAGGAAAAATTCAAATTTACAAGATTTAAACTCAGAATTCTGAGGAAAAATTCAAATTTACAAGATTTAAACTCAGAATTCTGAGGAAAAATTCAAATTTACAAGATTTAAACTCAGAATTCTGAGGAAAAATTCAAATTTACAAGATTTAAACTCAGAATTCTGAGGAAAAATTCAAATTTACAAGATTTAAACTCAGAATTCTGAGGAAAAATTCAAATTTACAAGATTTAAACTCAGAATTCTGAGGAAAAATTCAAATTTACAAGATTTAAACTCAGAATTCTGAGGAAAAATTCAAATTTACAAGATTTAAACTCAGAATTCTGAGGAAAAATTCAAATTTACAAGATTTAAACTCAGAATTCTGAGGAAAAATTCAAATTTACAAGATTTAAACTCAGAATTCTGAGGAAAAATTCAAATTTACAAGATTTAAACTCAGAATTCTGAGGAAAAATTCAAATTTACAAGATTTAAACTCAGAATTCTGAGGAAAAATTCAAATTTACAAGATTTAAACTCAGAATTCTGAGGAAAAATTCAAATTTACAAGATTTAAACTCAGAATTCTGAGGAAAAATTCAAATTTACAAGATTTAAACTCAGAATTCTGAGGAAAAATTCAAATTTACAAGATTTAAACTCAGAATTCTGAGGAAAAATTCAAATTTACAAGATTTAAACTCAGAATTCTGAGGAAAAATTCAAATTTACAAGATTTAAACTCAGAATTCTGAGGAAAAATTCAAATTTACAAGATTTAAACTCAGAATTCTGAGGAAAAATTCAAATTTACAAGATTTAAACTCAGAACTCTGAGAAAAAAAAAATCAAACTTACAAGATTTAAACTCAGAATTCCGAGAAAAATGTAAAACTTACAAGATTTAAACTCAGAATTCTGAGGAAAAATTCAAGCTTACAAGATTTAAACTCAGAATTCTGAGAAAAAATTCAAACTTACAAGATTTAAACTCAGAATTCTGAGATAAAAATGTAACTTACAAGATTTAAACTCAGAATTATGAGAAAAAATTCAAGCTTACAAGATTTAAACTCAGAATTCTGAGATAAAAATGTAACTTACAAGATTTAAACTCAGAATTATGAGAAAAAATTCAAGCTTACAAGATTTAAACTCAGAATTCTGAGATAAAAATGTAACTTACAAGATTTAAACTCAGAATTATGAGAAAAAATTCAAGCTTACAAGATTTAAACTCAGAATTCTGAGATAAAAATGTAACTTACAAGATTTAAACTCAGAATTATGAGAAAAAATTCAAGCTTACAAGATTTAAACTCAGAATTCTGAGATAAAAATGTAACTTACAAGATTTAAACTCAGAATTATGAGAAAAAATTCAAGCTTACAAGATTTAAACTCAGAATTCTGAGATAAAAATGTAACTTACAAGATTTAAACTCAGAATTATGAGAAAAAATTCAAGCTTACAAGATTTAAACTCAGAATTCTGAGATAAAAATGTAACTTACAAGATTTAAACTCAGAATTATGAGAAAAAATTCAAGCTTACAAGATTTAAACTCAGAATTCTGAGATAAAAATGTAACTTACAAGATTTAAACTCAGAATTATGAGAAAAAATTCAAGCTTACAAGATTTAAACTCAGAATTCTGAGATAAAAATGTAACTTACAAGATTTAAACTCAGAATTATGAGAAAAAATTCAAGCTTACAAGATTTAAACTCAGAATTCTGAGATAAAAATGTAACTTACAAGATTTAAACTCAGAATTATGAGAAAAAATTCAAGCTTACAAGATTTAAACTCAGAATTCTGAGATAAAAATGTAACTTACAAGATTTAAACTCAGAATTATGAGAAAAAATTCAAGCTTACAAGATTTAAACTCAGAATTCTGAGATAAAAATGTAACTTACAAGATTTAAACTCAGAATTATGAGAAAAAATTCAAGCTTACAAGATTTAAACTCAGAATTCTGAGATAAAAATGTAACTTACAAGATTTAAACTCAGAATTATGAGAAAAAATTCAAGCTTACAAGATTTAAACTCAGAATTCTGAGATAAAAATGTAACTTACAAGATTTAAACTCAGAATTATGAGAAAAAATTCAAGCTTACAAGATTTAAACTCAGAATTCTGAGATAAAAATGTAACTTACAAGATTTAAACTCAGAATTATGAGAAAAAATTCAAGCTTACAAGATTTAAACTCAGAATTCTGAGATAAAAATGTAACTTACAAGATTTAAACTCAGAATTATGAGAAAAAATTCAAGCTTACAAGATTTAAACTCAGAATTCTGAGATAAAAATGTAACTTACAAGATTTAAACTCAGAATTATGAGAAAAAATTCAAGCTTACAAGATTTAAACTCAGAATTCTGAGATAAAAATGTAACTTACAAGATTTAAACTCAGAATTATGAGAAAAAATTCAAGCTTACAAGATTTAAACTCAGAATTCTGAGATAAAAATGTAACTTACAAGATTTAAACTCAGAATTATGAGAAAAAATTCAAGCTTACAAGATTTAAACTCAGAATTCTGAGATAAAAATGTAACTTACAAGATTTAAACTCAGAATTATGAGAAAAAATTCAAGCTTACAAGATTTAAACTCAGAATTCTGAGAATAAAATTCTAACTTACAGGATTTAAACTCACCTTACAAGATTTAAACAGAATTCTGAGAAAAAAAATTTTTACTTACAAGATTTAAACTCAGAATTCTGAGAAAAAAAGCAATTGTGAGTTTATAACTCACAAATCTGAGGGAAAAGAATCTGAATTGTGAGATGTAAAATATAGTAATTATAACTTGCAACTGTGAGATTTAAAATGCAGCTGTGAGAAAAAAGGTAAAAATTGCCTTTTTAATTTTTTATTCTGTGGCAGAAACAAAAAACACTATTGTACACTGAGAATTCAGAGAAGAAAAGTCAGAATTGTGAGATGTAAACTCGCATTGTCCTTTTGAATTTGATTATTCTGTGGCAGAAATAAGCTATATCTTTAAATACACTACTGTTCAAAAGTTTGGGGTCAGTAAGATTTTTTTATGAAAGAAATTAATACTTTTATTCAGTAAGGACACATTAAATTGATCAAAAGCGACAGTAAAGGCATTTATAATGTTACAAAAGATTTCGGTTTCAAATAAATGCTGCTCTTCTGAACTTTCTATTTATCAAACAATCCTGAAAAATAAAATGTATCACGGTTTCCACAAAAATATTCAGCCACACACCTGTTTTCAACATTGATAATAATCAGAAATGTTTCTTGAGCAGCAAATCAGCATATTATAATGATTTCTGAAGATCATGTGACACTGAAGACTACAGTAATGATGCTGAAAATACAGCTTTGATCACAGAAATAAATTACAGTTTACAATATGTTCACACAGAAAACACTTATTATAAATTGTAATAATATTTCACAATTTTTACTGTATTTTTGATCAAATAAATGCAGCCTTGGTGAGCAGATGCGACTTCTTTCAGAAACGTTACAAATCACAATGATTCCAAACTTTTGAACACCAGTGCATCTCCAGATTCTCTGAACAGTGATGCAGTTTCTGACGTGTATTTGACTGACTTACGTGGGTTTCTGACATGCCAGCTGAGTTCTGTCAGCCTCTCCAGATCTGAGGAAGAAAACGGCACAATCACAAAGTCTAATTCAATGTCTTGCTGTCAGAATGATCCGACATCTTTGAAAACAAGATTTAAAGTGCATCTTGCTGTGTTTGAGGTTATAGGAAGATGTTTGTCATGCAGTTTATAGTATCTGACACAAACAGTCCATGTTCTGGCACACTTTCAGCCTCTCCAGATCTGAGGAAGAAAACGGCACAATCACAAAGTCAAATTCAATGTCTTGCTGTCAGAATGATCCGACATCTTTGAAAACAAGATTTAAAGTTCATCTTGCTGTGTTTGAGGTTATAGGAAGATGTTTGTCATGCAGTTTATAGTATCTGACACAAACAGTCCATGTTCTGGCACACTTTGTGCAGAGTGAAAACACACAGATCATGCACAACACGGTTTAGGGCAAAGGAGCTCAGCAAAACATTCATCAGCAGCCGAATGATGATACAATACCGAGGTCGTACTAAGAAAATACGAGTTATGCATCAATTCATGCTGATCAGACACACAAGGTCTCGTGCCACCGTGTTCAGGTAATGCATTATGCAGAGATAGGAATGAATGTCTACCCTCTGCAGTGAAGGTGAAACTAGAGGAGACGTCAGGGTTTCCGCTCAGCTCCACAGTGTGAAGGCCCAAATCCTGCTCCGAGGCGTCCGTGAAGGTAAGAACAGACCTGGGACAAACATTTGGATCAGGTTTATGGAGTATTTAAAGGGACAGTCACCCAAAACAAAGTCATCATTTACTCAAACCCAAAACGGTGTGAATTTACAACAAAAATGTTAATTTTAAAGAGTCTGTACTATCCCTTTAAGAAAGTTGAAGGTGCCTATTTACCAAGAAAAAAACTATATATATAATTTTTAGTAGTTCACTCACAAAAATTAATGCTTTTTTTGAATGAACTATTCCTTTAAGAAAGTTTAAGGTGCCTATTTACAATTTAAAAATAATATATAAATTATGATAATTTATTTGACCGTCATTTGATGCATTACTGCTGCCATAAGCACTACAAAAGGTAAACAAACATTGCTTTTAAATTAAGATACTTTATTTATTTATTTTTTTTTACATTAACTTGATATATACTGTTTTTATATTTATACTCAAGTTAATATTGTAATGTTACAGCGTTGGTTTTTGATTACTTCACTGCAATGCTTCATGGAAATAAGATATTAAAATAACTTAATATATACTGTTTTTATGTTTGGACTCATTAAGTTAATAGTTCAACATTGTAGCATTGGTTTTTGATTACTTCATTGCAACGCTTCATAGAAATATAATACTTAAATATTTGAATTAGCTTACTATATACTGTTTTTATATTTATACTTAAGTTAATAGTTTAATATTGTAGCATTGGTTTTTGATGACTTTATTGCAATGCTTCATGGAAAAAAATATTTAAATATTTTTAATTAACTTACTGTTTTCATGTTTATATTTAAGTTAATAGTTTAATAATGTACCGGTTTTTGATTATTCATTGCAATGCTTTAATTTCCTCATAAAATAATTTAAGTTCACTGTCTTCTTTTTTTTTCATTTTCAAGTAGTTTTTTTTGCTTTAAATCAAAGTTTGCATGTTGTTAGGTTCTGTTCATAGTTTCAAACTCTTTACTGACAAACTGTTGGAAATCCCAATGGAGAAAATAAATGAGAAATATACTTCCAGATCCAATGCTGCAGAAAAAGTGTCACTGTTGTGCTCATATCGTGACTAAAGACCTGTTGTTTTTGTTCTCCAGTCGGGCTCGTCCGGCATCAATCGCTTTGCCGTAGTTCTTACTCCACTTAAAGACGTCTTTATCAGTGCTGTCAGGAGCTTCAAAGCTCAGGAAGATGAAGCCGTCGTTATCGACTCCGATCTCAATCTCTTTGGTTCCTGGTGGCAAACACAGGATAGAGTTAAAAGCGACTCGCTGTAAAATGAGCATGAAATCATTATGCAGACTTCCAGGCAGCTGACCTGCTTTAGTCTGCGCTTCCACCGGCTCTGACGCCACTGAAGACATGCCGACTCCGGCGGCGTTAACAGCAGACACACGGAGGCGGTACGTCTGACCTGCTTGCAGACCTGAAACCTGATCAGATATCATCCAAAAACAGCTCAGTCCTCTTTCAAGGCTTTGGTGGGACTAGATGCAAATGTAACTATTGTGAATTGAGTCGAGATATTTTTAAGGCAAGAAGACACCACAGGTTTGTCCTGCACAGGACAATTTTGCTTCCTATTTTCACTTTCAAAATATGCATTTATTTTAGTGGAAAGAAAACATCCAAAATACACATTCAAGTGTTTATTTTGTATCTGTAAAATTAAATTACAATACATATCTTTAAAGGCGTTTCTCAAAATGAGTCAGAATTTGACACTTAAGCAACACTTTACTGTAATTTTACTGTAAGTTGTAAATAAAAGATTACGGCACTTTTTTTACAAGAAAATATTATTTTAGTCGTTCTACTTCAAAATTTCACTTTAATTCAATGTGTAACTTGTCATCTCTTTGTAATTAATTGTGAAATTTATGAGAAATTTTTGAGTGAAAATTGTTTCTACACCAAATTCTTTTCATTCTGCATACACCAAACTTTACAGTTTTATTCCTGTTTATATTTTTAAGTCTGTTACAGAGGGATATGTTCATAAATAATCTTGGACCAGATTTATATCACATTTATACAGTATATAACATTTATATGAAGTGTTATGTAAATCTGTTCCAAAATGACATATGAACAAACCCCTCTATAAAAATCTTCAAAATATAGATCGGAATAAAACTGTAAAGTTTGGTGTAAGTGCTGCCGAATTGGAGAAAAACTTGTCAAAACTGGTTAAAATGTATATATTTTCTGGCCATTGACAGTATGAAGTGATTCCCTCTTTAAAAACCCAACATTTTGAACCTGGCTTCATCCAATGTTCAGATTTCTGTCCTGGAAATTTATGCAAATGAGTTCATATTTAAATAGATAATGTCTCATTTCCATATTTAAACATGACATTTCAGAAAACTTGTAATGCACTCTAATTGAATTGAGTCGAGATATTTTTAAGGCAAGAAGACACCACAGGTTTGTCCTGCACAGGACAATTTTGCTTCCTATTTTCACTTTCAAAATATGCATTTATTTTAGTGGAAAGAAAACATCCAAAATACACATTCAAGTGTTTATTTTGTATCTGTAAAATTAAATTACAATACATATCTTTAAAGGCGTTTCTCAAAATGAGTCAGAATTTGACACTTAAGCAACACTTTACTGTAAGTTGTAAATAAAAGATTACGGCACTTTGTTTACAAGAAAATATTATTTTAGTCGTTCTACTTCAAAATTTCACTTTAATTCAATGTGTAACTTGTCATCTCTTTGTAATTAATTGTGAAATTTATGAGAAATTTTTGAGTGAAAATTGTTTCTACACCAAATTCTTTTCATTCTGCATACACCAAACTTTACAGTTTTATTCCTGTTTATATTTTTAAGTCTGTTACAGAGGGATATGTTCATAAATAATCTTGGACCAGATTTATATCACATTTATACAGTATATAACATTTATATGAAGTGTTATGTAAATCTGTTCCAAAATGACATATGAACAAACCCCTCTATAAAAATCTTCAAAATATAGATCGGAATAAAACTGTAAAGTTTGGTGTAAGTGCTGCCGAATTGGAGAAAAACTTGTCAAAACTGGTTAAAATGTATATATTTTCTGGCCATTGACAGTATGAAGTGATTCCCTCTTTAAAAACCCAACATTTTGAACCTGGCTTCATCCAATGTTCAGATTTCTGTCCTGGAAATTTATGCAAATGAGTTCATATTTAAATAGATAATGTCTCATTTCCATATTTAAACATGACATTTCAGAAAACTTGTAATGCACTCTAATATACTGTGATTAATCAACTGAATAAAGTATAAAGTAGCATTTTAAATCCTGTTTACCTATAGTGTCTTACCTTAAATTTGATTGCTGATGCACAATTGTAATTTCAATTGAAATCAAGGATGTAGAATTAGATTGCAATTCAACTCAACTCACTTTCTTAAATTCTGAATTTTGCAATCAGAAGAGAAACTAAAGGCACCTTTAAGTGAGTTTCCGTCACTGGCTCACTCGTCACGAGGGTCCAATCCTCAGACTCCGCCCCCTCGCTGATCTCCACTACATACCCGCTGACCTCTGATTGGCCCTTGTACAGAGGCCCCGCCCACAGCAGCACCAGAGAGTTCCGCCTCACTTCTCTAAATTCCAGATCATACGGACAACCTGCAACATATGAATCAACACATTCATACAATAATCCATCATCGTCGTCTGTTCATTCATGCCGCCTTTTAAAGATGCTTGCACAACTTATTTTACCTTCATTTAATGAAGACATTGCACACTTCTACATTTCTTTCATTAATTTCTCTAATATACACACCTCTATATATGAGCAGTGTTTATCCTCTTGAACATAGAAACTATAAAATAAAAGAATCTAGCCCACAACCAGGCATATAAATGATAACCAAAGGAAAAATGTAGCGTGCTGTGCTGTAAGTGAAATAACCCTCAATTGCAAAAAAAAAAGTGAACCAGCACAAATGGAAGAAAAACTACTTTCATTGATTTTTGAGTTCTGCATCAGTGTGCCAGAAAGCCACAGTCTAGTGAAACACACTATAACGATTAAGACATTAATGATGAAGAACAGAAACACATTAAATATTAATGAAATAAGAACAGCATGTTAGTCTGTGCCAGATATGGTTTAGTTCAGAAAAGACATGATTGAAACAAATCGAATTTATTGTTTCCTATAATTAAAAAGTGTACAAGTTGTGCAATAAATAAATAAATAGTGCAATAATAAAACATAGTGCATATTAATGTCATTTGGTAATATAACCTTCTTCTTTGCAAGTTTATTTAGATGCAATAAGAACTGATTTCCAAACTATTCTTTCTTTCTCAAAATTGCTAAAAGAACTGTACAGGAACATATATGAAAGAAGAAACAAGTAAAATCCCTTACGATTCCTGTCCCTGATCATGCAGGATCTTACCAGGCTCAGGCATCGTCCAGCGCTCACACAAAAACAGCTCGCTGGGTTCAGAAGCGTCACCCAGACCAACAATATTGGCTGCGAAGACTCGGAACTGGTAAAAACGTCCTTCCTGAAGGCCTGTCACCTAAAAACAAAACAGACCAATAATGGAAAATAAATGGATGTGTCAGAAAGGACGGAAGAGAAACCTAAAATAAAATAAAAGCATCTGTAAAAAGAGAAAGTATATGTGTTTTCACATTCTCAGTGTTCATTTAAATGCAAACGAGGAGGGGATCACACTCCTAATGGAAGCTGAAAGCATCCTCAAAATAACTCAAATATTTAATGAACTAAAAAACACGAGACAGAGAATAACTTTGTGGATGACTGATGCTCCAATCCTGTGTGAAATCTGTCCAGTCTTTCGATTCAGATGCATTTTTAACCCAGAAGCAGTGTAATTTTACATTTATTTAGTATTTAGTTTTTATTTTACATATTTTTATATAATATTTTGAATTAGTTTTCATTGTTATTTTTCATTTTCATTTTAGTTAAAATGTAATTTTTTGTGCGTTTTTGTCGGTATAGGTTTTTTTTAAATAGCTACTTTATTTTAGCACTTTTTAAATTTTTTCTTTAGTTTCGATTTACATTTATTTTATTCGAGTAACAAAAATAATGACTTATAATGAAATATGTGAAGTGCTGTGAATCAAATGCAGGTTTAAAACCCAGAAACGGTAAATTTGACTATTTTAGTATATATTAATATTTGAACAACTTAATGTTTTTTTAATTATTTGTATATTTTGCATTTTCATTTTAATTCAAGTTTTAGTAATTTGTTTTGTCATTCTTATTAAATGTTGTTTTAAAAACTGTCAAGTGCTGTGCTGTAAGTGAAATAACCCTCAATTGCAAAAAAAAAAGTGAACCAGCACAAATGGAAGAAAAACTACTTTCATTGATTTTTGAGTTCTGCATCAGTGTGCCAGAAAGCCACAGTCTAGTGAAACACACTATAACGATTAAGACATTAATGATGAAGAACAGAAACACATTAAATATTAATGAAATAAGAACAGCATGTTAGTCTGTGCCAGATATGGTTTAGTTCAGAAAAGACATGATTGAAACAAATCGAATTTATTGTTTCCTATAATTAAAAAGTGTACAAGTTGTGCAATAAATAAATAAATAGTGCAATAATAAAACATAGTGCATATTAATGTCATTTGGTAATATAACCTTCTTCTTTGCAAGTTTATTTAGATGCAATAAGAACTGATTTCCAAACTATTCTTTCTTTCTCAAAATTGCTAAAAGAACTGTACAGGAACATATATGAAAGAAGAAACAAGTAAAATCCCTTACGATTCCTGTCCCTGATCATGCAGGATCTTACCAGGCTCAGGCATCGTCCAGCGCTCACACAAAAACAGCTCGCTGGGTTCAGAAGCGTCACCCAGACCAACAATATTGGCTGCGAAGACTCGGAACTGGTAAAAACGTCCTTCCTGAAGGCCTGTCACCTAAAAACAAAACAGACCAATAATGGAAAATAAATGGATGTGTCAGAAAGGACGGAAGAGAAACCTAAAATAAAATAAAAGCATCTGTAAAAAGAGAAAGTATATGTGTTTTCACATTCTCAGTGTTCATTTAAATGCAAACGAGGAGGGGATCACACTCCTAATGGAAGCTGAAAGCATCCTCAAAATAACTCAAATATTTAATGAACTAAAAAACACGAGACAGAGAATAACTTTGTGGATGACTGATGCTCCAATCCTGTGTGAAATCTGTCCAGTCTTTCGATTCAGATGCATTTTTAACCCAGAAGCAGTGTAATTTTACATTTATTTAGTATTTAGTTTTTATTTTACATATTTTTATATAATATTTTGAATTAGTTTTCATTGTTATTTTTCATTTTCATTTTAGTTAAAATGTAATTTTTTGTGCGTTTTTGTCGGTATAGGTTTTTTTTAAATAGCTACTTTATTTTAGCACTTTTTAAATTTTTTCTTTAGTTTCGATTTACATTTATTTTATTCGAGTAACAAAAATAATGACTTATAATGAAATATGTGAAGTGCTGTGAATCAAATGCAGGTTTAAAACCCAGAAACGGTAAATTTGACTATTTTAGTATATATTAATATTTGAACAACTTAATGTTTTTTTAATTATTTGTATATTTTGCATTTTCATTTTAATTCAAGTTTTAGTAATTTGTTTTGTCATTCTTATTAAATGTTGTTTTAAAAACTGTCAATATAGTTTTTATTAATTTTTATTTCAGTTTTAGTTATTTTAGTACTTCAATTTTTTATTGTTAATTTCTTCTTTAATTTCTCACATTTATTTCATTAAAGTAACAAAAATTATGACTTTTTTTTGTGGAAATCTGTGGAGTCCTGCAATTCAGATTAATTTTTAACCCAGAAACAGTATAATTTTACTATTTTAGTATTTATTTATATTTTGAATTTTGAAAATTAGCATTTTGATTTTAATTTGAGTTGAAGCTTTAGTAATTTTGTTGTTTTTGTCACTTACTAGCTTTTTTTTAAATGTAGTTTTTTATGAATTTTTATTTCAGTTTTAGTTAGCTATTTTAATTCTTCAATTTTTATTTTTTTTTCTTAATTTCAGTTCACATTTATTTTATGCGAGTAACAAAAATGTATTTTGTTGTAATGGTTTAGTTTTAGTTTTAATTTCAATTTATTATGAAAAAAAAAATGTTTTTGTATAAAATGAATTTCAGTTTATTATCATTTAGTTAACGCTTAATAATAACCCTGCCCAGAAAAGCCTTTATCTTCAGTGCATTGATCAGCCGGTTGACGTCTATATCGAGGACCATTTGAGAGCTACTTATCCGATAAGCATTGCTTTAAGACTGTTTCTGTGATGAGAAGTAAAGATCACCACGAGTGGCCACCCAGTCACAAGTAATTGGGATTGGATTTAGGAAAACAGGCCTTCTTAAGACTTGTGATTAACAGTTGCTTGAATCCTCTTATCAAATCAGAGGCTTATCTGGGAGCTCAAATCTCTGGAGCGTCCAGACCAGGCCCCGTGGCCTGCTGGGACAGAGAACGGCCACTAGATGGCAGACATCAGGAATAGCATAGGGATTTTAATGTAGGGTGGTGTGTGTTTGTGCTGCTCTGTAATGATGCTGGGCAGGTGGCAGTGCCTCTGATGCTCAATGAGAGGCGGAAATCATTAACATGGGCTTCACTCTATGACCACAGTGCCCTCGAAGATCAATGTTTTCTAATTGACAATGTACTTTGAGGCATCCTGTGAGCAAATAGTGCATAACAACCCCATCCTCCTCTCCAAAAAAACCCCCTGGTTTTCAGAGGGCATGTTAATAGAAAGAGACAGGAGGCCGATGCTGTTTCAGTCCATCAGAGGGCACTGTGCACTCATGACACTTTACACAAGAACAGAGGTAAGGCTTGAAACCCATAAAACATGTTCTGTTTCATCAAAGGAGGCAGTAAACCTTTAGAAAATGTTGCTTGTTCACCAAGAGCTCAAAATGAATATTATATGATTCATTACTGGTGTTTGCTGAAGCAAGCAACACTATTATTATTGCTCAGTTTTAAGGTAGTGCTATTTTAGTATTGTTGAGATACTATTTTGAGTTTTCAGAAATGTGTTTTTATTTTTGTATTTTCGGTTTTAATTTTTAAAACAGAATCTTTTTTTTTTTTAACAAACATTTGCATTTTTTAAATAGTTTTTGTTCCTTTTTTTTTTTAGTTTTTTTTTTTTAAATATGTCTATATAGATTTTGTTAATTTTATTTCAGTTTAAATTTTGGTTATTTCAGAGGTTATTTCTATTCATATAAATGTTGCCATGGCAACTAACTGGAATAAAATAAGTTGAAGTTGAAGTACGCACAAAAATCTCAAACTAAAACAAATAAATAAATATAAATAAAAAATGAAAAAGAAACATAAAATAGCACAAAAACTAAAAAAAGAAAAAAAAGCACATAACACAACGACTAAAATAAACGAAAATTAAAATGGCTGAAAATATAAAAATAAAAATAAAATCTAATTCAAAATATTGATAAATACTACATACTTAATAAATATTATATAAATATTACTAAAATAACAGGGCCCACAATACCTTAACACTGTGTGGGGTGTTGTATTTGGGTCATATAATTAGGGCACAATTAAACTGATTAATTTTTAAAAATTAATTAAATAATTAAATAAAAATGAAAAAAAAAAAAACTATACTAACATATTTAAATAAATAAATACATTTTAATAATTATTTTATTTTATATAAAATATAAATGAATCAATTAACTGAATACCAATTCAATAGAGTTAGTTTGATTATATATTTATTGTTGTTTGATTTTAATTGTTAAATGCAGCAGAGAAAGTCAAGACCTCTGATGTGGTGCAGACCAAAATCAAAGCATTTTAATGATCTAAAACAAACTAATGCTCATCTAAAAGAACATTTTGTCATAGATTTTGTTTTTATTTATTTCAAAACAGAACACCGATTTGCACTGTGTTTGTGGACAGTTTTGTTCATTATCATGCTTAAAATCCCTGTTTTAAACAACCAATAATCAGCTGAGAATGTCAGCGTGAACAAAACAACAACTGTTTAATAATTAAGTTTACACGCATCTGCATCAACTAATGACAGACCTGCTTTAATCCTGCTTTAAAACGATAACGGCCGTGGCCTCTGTCTATAAACTCCACAAATTAAACATCACCTTCTCTAACAATCACTTTTTTCATCAAACCACTATTTTGTGTTCAAGCTAGAACCCGGTCCAATTAAACCGTGAAAACAATCAAAAATAAACAGCGCTTTAAGTTTTAATTAAGTCTCCATGGACACCATGGTTGCTCGGCGACACATTTAAAGTTAGACGAAGGCAGATGAGCAGGTCAAACATTTCTTGGCATGACTGCAATGAAATATTGAGCAATAAACAATATTTATGACTGATTTAAGCAGGTCTCGTCATTAGTTGCTGCAGCAGCATGTAACAAAAGAGCAGCTGATCACAAAGACAGCATGGAAACTGCTGGTACTGTAAATGGCCGATTGAATCGTGCTGTTCTCAGCTCACCTCGTACACTCTTTCTTTAGCGGGTTTGATGCTGATCTCTCTCCAGGAACTCTGGGATTTCTCCCTCTGGTCCAGGAAGTAGCCGCGCACAGGGTCTCCTCCGTGATTGGCCGGGGCTCTCCAGCCAATCAGCATCTCTGCTCCGGTGCAGCGCAGTAGAGTGATGGCTGATGGACGAGATGGAACATCTGCAGTAATGGGCAGGGGAAGGTCAGAGGTCACAGGCTGCTGCGTTGCACTGCTAAAGTCAACCACAGCATGTTTGCTATTACATTTACATTTAGTCATTTAGCAGACGCTTTTATCCACACACACACACACACACACACACACATGAGGGAATTGTAGTTATTTTTACTATACCCAAGTATAATATTGGAGAATTTGTATTTTGAGTATTAATGAAAACTAAATCCTCTTATTTAATTATTACATTGTCAGTATACATTATGTATAATACTTTTTAAATTACTATTAGATAATTATTCCTATTATTTTTGTATTTTATTTAACATGTATCTTCTCTTCTCTAACTTTTGCATTTGTATCTCAATCTCAGGAATGCTGAAGCTGAGATTTTTGTAAAATACATTATGGGCGAATTCCAAACAGAAGTGAGTAGGGATGCACCGAAACCGAACAAAATGAAACACTGGGCCGAATACCGAACACGCTTTTTCTAGTCTTTTTCCCCCATGTATTTTGCACACACACACACACACACACAGACACACACACACACACACACACACAGAAAAACAAGTAGATAGAATAGAAAAAAATAGAAAGCTAGTGTTTTTTTTATAAAAAAAGAAGATAGATAAAGTAGAATTAAAATAGAATAGAAAGTGTTAATTGTAAACTATTAATTGTTAATGAATCAAATAAGTGATTATGAAAAAACCTAAATAATTAATAGGATAACCAGATGTCCCGGTTTTATGAGTGTCCTGATAATACACTAAATTTACATGTAAAAATGTGTCCTGGTTTCAGCGGACTAAAAATTAATTAATTATTTATATACCATTACAGTTTATTATTATTATTAATTAGCTTTAATTTGTATGTTTTCAGTTTTCATTTGAATTTGATATGTTATGTGCTTTTGTAATTTCTATTAGTGTCCTTTTTACTATTTAGGTTTAATTTATTTTAGTTTCAGTTTTTATTTATTTCCAGTTAGTAATTCTAGTGCTTCAACATAAACTTATTTCAGTTAGCTGCCAAAGCAACATCTCTCATTTATAGTTTTTATCTAATTTTTATATTTTATTTAATTTCATCTTTATTTCAATAAAAATGTTTTAGTTAATGATAACAACCCGTGGGAAAATTAGGTATTTTAATGTTCATTTTCTGTTGTCCACGGACATAAATCAGACCAAGTACAATTATATTTTATGTGGAATTACATTTAATGGTTTTAGGTTCCAATTACGTCATCATTTTATGCTAAAATGTATTTGATGAAATGTGTCAGCAAGTCTTTAACTCTAAATTCACCTATAAATGCATGCACAAACTGTTATATATGTTTATGCTAATGTTCCTCAAACGTACTGCTTTGGGTTTTGTTCTAAACTTTTAACTCTGAGCATTAAACTCATGCAATGAATTCAAACATTGCAGATTTGTCAAAGCAGCATTAAATTCACACAGAAACAAAGACTAATGCTTAAGCTTTCCTAAAGCGTTTTTTTGCTGACTTGCAAGCACAGCTACTTCTGCAGGAAATTCAGTTCTAGTTTATTTTATGTTATTTGCATTTTATTCTGTTCAAAACATGGGAATGAAACTGAAGAGAAGCGCCTGCAAAGAGCGGAAACACACTGGGCTTTAACTAAAGATATACAATTAATATGATCTGCACTAAAAGACAGCCTCTCTCTTTTAAAATTAATTCTAGTGTAATTTCAGCCAATGGATGGATGGGAGCTTCTGGTCATCCTAATAAGTAATAAAAGCAACTAATGTGTTTTATATGGAAGCCCGTTTCCACCACTAAATAATAATAATAAAAAAAAGTTAATTGTGAATTTTTCTCTCACAATCTGAGTTTACATCTCGCAATTCTGACTTTCTTCTCACAATTCTGACTTTCTTACCTTGCAATTCTGACTTTTTCTTACAATTCTGACTTGTTTTCTCAAAATTCTGAGATACAAACTCACAATTGTGAATTATAATGTCCAATTCTGAGGAAAAAAGTAAGAATTACAAGTTTATATCACACACTTCTGAGTAAGAAATCAGAATTGACAAAAAGTCAGAATGACCTTTTTAATTTTTTTATCCTGTGGTGGAAACGGGCTTCCATAATTTTCTGTGAGGATAATGCGATTATGTAAAAAACACAGGTTTGATCTTCAGGAACATGTGGTTGAAGTGTCTCTGGTGTTTGATGCTAACAGACGGAGCGTCTGTCCTGATCTCAACCCACTTCAGCGCCACTCAGAATCAGCTGTTATTACTAAGAGAAAAGCTGAAGCGTCAGACGACAGCCTATTACTGTCAGGACTGAGCCATTCTCTGCAGTAACAGGCCTGTCTTTAGTCACGACTGTGAGGAGCAGTAGGAGCATCACGTGTGCTCGAAGCTTGAAACGACCTCTGTACTCTACTGACAGCAGAATGCTACGGTAAACACAAGTAGACTTTTACATTTACTGAACACAATGTTAGAGTGTTGTGGGTGGTTTCTAGGGAATTAATATGCGGTTGCCAAGGCCTGAGAAAATGTTTGCACGTTGCTATGTGGTTTCTAGGGTGTACTATGTTGTTTATAGGGTGTGCTGGGCGGTTGCTAGGGTATTGCTATCTGGTTGCTAGGGTGTTCTGGGTGGTTGCTAGGGCTCTGCTACTGTGGGTGGTTTGCTAGGGTGTTCTGGGTGGTTATAGTGCATCACTAGATGGTTGCTAGGATGTTCGGGGTGGTTGCTAGGGCATTGCTAGCTGGTTGCTAAGGTGTTCTGGGTGGTTTCTAGGGCTCTGCTACTGGGTGGTTTGTTAGATGTCCTATAGGGGGTTGCCAGGTGGTTGTTAGGGTGGTTACTAGAGCATTTCTAGGTGGTTTTTAGGGTTTTATGGGTCATTGTTGCTGCTATACGAATACATTTGACTTGATTTCTAGTTGGTTTCTAGGGTGTTATGGGTGGTTACTAGGGTGTACTGATGGGTCTCTAGGGCACTGCTGGGTGGTTGCTAGGGTATTCTGTATGGTTGCTAGGGCATTTCTAGGTGATTGCTATGGTGTACTAGATAGTTGCTAGGGCATTGCTAACTGGTTTCTAGGGCATTCTATGTGGTTGCTAGGGCTCTGCTAATGGAGGTGGTTTTCTAAGGGGTTGCCATGTGGTTGCTATGGTGTTTTGGGTGGTTACTAGGGCATTATTTCTAGATGGTTTCTAGGGTGTTATGGCCTATTTCTTGTGCTATAGAACTAAATTTGACTAGATGGTCGCTAGGTGGTGGCTAGGGTGTTCTTGGTTTGTTGCTAGGGCATTTCTAAGTGGTTCCTAGTGTGTTCTGAGTGATTGCTAGAGTATTGTGATTTTTGCTAGAGCATTTTAAGTGGTTGCTATGGTGTTCTGGGTGGTTGCTAGGGTATGTTAGGTGGTTGCTCACTGGCCCAAGTCAAAAGAGTTCATCAGCTGTATCTGTTCATGCAGGAAGCTCAATCATAGAATGATCAATTCACACTGAGACTATAAACGGTTTTCCCGAGCTCAAGCAGACAGCCAGAAGCACTTTAGACAAAACGGCGTCATATTTAAAACTGCTGTCCTGCAGGGTCTGGTCTGGTTCACAGGCGGGTCAGACACTTACATATCGCTGATTTCACTCGAACGGCAGGAGACTCCTCAGAGTAGATGCTGTTTCCCGCCAGTCCCACGGACTTCACCCGGAATACATACTCTTTATTGGTCTTCAGGCCATCAACTGTAAACCTGAGCGAAGAAGGAAACCAGTTTTAGTAGGTTTAGTAGATTACATATCTTAAAGGGATACTTCAACCAAAAATGAAAATGTGCTGTTAATTTACTCACCTCAGGTCATTTACAACATTAATACCTGGATTACAGGTGATAATGTAGTAAATAATGTTCAGTTTCTTGCACAGGCTGATTGTTTCGCTTCATAAGACCTCAATATATCGTCAGGAGCCATGGATATTAATTTTGTGTTGCCTGATATGCTTATTTTGACTCTCAAAGTGACGGTAGCCATTGGATTTTATTTTATTTATTTATTTATTTATCTAGTCATTTAGCAGACGCTTTTATCCAAAGCGACTTACAAATGAGGACAATAAAAGCAGTCAAAACTAACAAAAGAGCAACAATATATAAGTGCAAATGACAAGTCTCGGTTAGCCTAACACAGTACACGTAGCAAGGTGTATATATATACACATATATATACATATACATATATATACACATACATATATAATACATATACACACACACACGTATACATACATACATACACACACACATACATATACATACATATATATATATATATATATATATATATATATATATACACATACACGTATACATACA